GGGGGGGAAGAGGAATACAAAAGATAATAAAATGCCAAATATTTTCTTCTTTTCCTGTTTGTTTCCTCCAGTTGTTGGATCAGCTCTGATACTCATCTGCTATACATCATCCATGGCCCTATTTGTGCTGCTCTGTTGGTAGGCATTTTTCAGTCTTTTTTAATTTGTTTTCTGACTGGTTTTCATGGGCTTATATAGTTGGTATGAGCCTAAAGCTAACATTTAGAGGTCACTGCTATTTGCAGGACTCTCACTTAACCCAGTTAGGTGCCTTAGACACACCAGATATACAAGTCTTGGCCTTATTAAGGAGCTGTACCTCTGGTCCTTTGAGAAACTTGGGTTTTTCAGTGTTGATTATCAGTCTGCTTAAATGCTAGTGACAAGGACTAAATAGTACCTGGGGTGCTGGAGGGCCACGTTGAAATCCCTCCTTTAGTTGAGAATGCTTCCTCACTTCCCAGGCCATTTGCCAGGTTGACCCTAGTGTGACTGTGCTAATGTGACCAAAGAGCTCCCAGACTGGACCTCACTGAGGTTCAGAAAGAGGGCTCTTGAATGTCAGGACTGACATTCCCTGTGGGTGGGAATACAGGATGGAAGGAAACTAGAGCAGGCCTTTGGGAAAGAACCAGTGGGAATAGTTCTGTAAGTGTCTGTGACTGCCCCTGTTCTGGTCCTAATCTAGCAGTGGGGCTTTGGCCACCAGGGTATTGCAAGTCCTCTGCTGAGGGGTCCTCATGGACTCTTAGAGTGTTGTGTTCTGTCTTACACTCCCAGTTAACACTAGCTTTATTGCGGGAATGTTTGCTACTGAAGACATTAAGTTCTAGGTAAGTAACTGAAGGAACCATTGTATAAAATCAATGTTGTACTTCAGTTATACTAGGACTGAATTAAAACCATGCAATTCAGTCAATAAATTATGGCTAGATAGAAATAGGTGCATAATAAAAGGAGATACTAATATGTACCTACTACACAACTATCTAGATAATTAATATCTATGAATGCATAAGGCAGAGAAGAGAATGCTGCAGTGTAGAAGCATTCTCTACGTGACTGGAGTTAGCTGCTGACTATATATTACAGTCATCTTTGTTAACCTGTATCAGAAACTTCAGGCTGATCTGGCAAAAGTATTGTATACATGTCTGCTGACTTCTCTTACAGCTTTTCAGTTCATGCAAGGAAATCCTTAAGAATGAAAACATCGAGTAACTTTTTGGAAATAATTCCAGTTTCTGATCTTCATGAGCTTCCTCTTCTGTTAAATTGTTAATGAATATTTGTGGAGGTCATTCTGTGCATAGAGAATTCTCTCCGAAGACCATTGCATAAATTCTGTGGTTCTTGTGACTCCCATTTTAATTCACACTGAAATGAGCTGGTGAATTTATATTGTTGAAGGTTGTGTTGATACCATGACACGCCTGAGGTCCTCTGCATGGGAGGCCAGAGGCAGTCCCGTGAAATTATTGAGATCCATGGCCCTTGGGGTGTGAATTATTACTGATAATCTCTTGTCATGTTAGTCAGGTCTGCCATATAAGTTCATGTAAGGACATTTTAACTAGTGTTCTAATCTGTGGACTTGAAACCAATTTTAAATCCTTTCAGTTTTTCTTCTCTCTAACTTACATAGAAGATGAAATCCTGTTTTCACAGAAAGTGATAGGGCTTTTTTGCCCACTTCAGTGGTGCTGTATTTCACCCAGAAAATGTATGATATTCTGCATTGCCATGTGGTTTATTACTTCCTTTGTCCAGGTGTCTCTTCACAGTTATATTACTGAAGTAAAGCTCTTCAAAGCTGAAATATAATTTGTGTTAGTCAGAGCTTGCTTAAATAACAACAGAAAAATTTGTGTAAAAGTTATGAAACTATACCGTCTTCCATGAAATGACCTCATTTTAGGGTATAAGATAATTTTCTCCTTCCCAGAGGTGGCCTACACAAAGTCACACTGAAAACAGTGGCAAGACTCCTACTGATTTCAAATGTCCTGGATCAGTCCCAAACTGTCAAGTCTTCCTTCCATTCAAGGCAACACTAAGAATCTGCATTGATTTTACTGGAGGCATAATAATCACCTCTGCGTAGTTGGTTTGGGCAGAATCTGAGTCCATTCTCTTTGCAGTTTACAAATATGTATACCTTTGATATTCCTATATTTTTCATGAGCTGACTAAAGGTGTTTCTCTTGCATTTTTCTTGCCTTAGTACAATCACTAAATTTATTTGAAAACTATGTAGGAATAACAAAGAATAAACACAACTACACATCTTCCCTGTGATGTGAAAGTACCTTAAAGGAGTTGCTTTTCTTTCTGGTAACAAAAAAAAGTTGGGGTTTTTTTCTGTCAATTCAGAAAAGACAAGCCAGGGATAAAGACATTAGATGAAATGCATGTGTTTAGGCTTTGTGAACAGAACCCTCATTTGCTTAAGCAGCTTGCTTGCCAGATACAATTTCCACACTTTACTAAGCATGACCTGCTTTAGCAGACGTTCAAGCAACAATATTAAACTGCAAATTAGATAACAAGGGAGAAGACACTGTTTCTACTTGCAGGAGCAAGATCTCAAAGAGGATGAAGACGACCGTCAAGTGGGTGCCAGGGAGAATTGGCAGAAGCCAATGGGAACTTGACTCTTGTACATCACTGAAAACACTACAATTACATAAAGTTAACAATAATGCTGCTTTTACGGTCCCTGTTATTACATAACTGTGGTCAGATCCCTGCCAAAGAAACTGGAAATGGGAGCAGACATAGGTTGCATTTTGATTGGAATTGTCTTCAGTTGACCACTTAATTACAACTGCCTAAGCAACCACAATTAAAAAAATAGTGTGGGAATGAAACAGTAGAGGGTGATGTTAGTTTTTACACTAGACAAATACTGTTCAAAATGGAGGAGAGGAAGAAAAAGCAGTGGGTTTGAATTTTAGTGAAAGCAGTAGTGATTTCAGTGTAGATTTCAGGTGTGCCAGTGCACTAGTGATTTAGTTTGCATTGGTGCCACTGAAGGAGTAGATTTTGGTTTAGTTATGCCATTATTTACATAAATAATATTACATGCATATTTTGCCCTATACCAATGTTATGTATTAGTGTCTTAGACTGACAGTCTTATAGATCCCGATTCTTTTAGCAGAAGTAGTAAGTGTACTCAGTGAATATGTGCTAGAAGGAAGTTCAGGAGCTCCTGACCTTGTCCCTGACCTATTTAATGACTTCAGGCTGCACTCAGGACAATTTAGGAGTTTAGCAGTTGAAGGCTTAGCATTTGTGTACTCAGCCTTAGGAATGTCTGCAGGACCAGTATAAAACTTGTTTTCATGAGCACATACAGGTGTTCCACCCAAGCAGGCTAAGATCTGAAGCTGCATAACTGTTAAAAGCATGCAATGGCTACCAGCTAGTATCTAAGAATATCATTTTACTGAGCTGAGAATGGTCTGTTTATATCATCCTAAAGAGGAAGTTAAATAGAATTTAGACTTACATGCTAATAAGGATTGCCATACTGCTAAGTACAAACAACATGGAGAGAAGTAGAAATATCAGGGACCTGAGGAGAGTTTAAATCAAAACCTGCAGCACCTGTCGTCTTCTAAGCTAAGTTCACAGCTACTCTCAAGGCAGAACCTAAATGCTAAGTTCCCAGTATAGGCATCAACATTTCTTTTTATCTAGAATTGCCTTGTCTGCCTTTGTTTCCATTTTTGTTTGTTTGCCCTGTTCACTTTTCGGGTCACTGTGGAGCTGCCAGTATTTTACTATGTGTTCATACTGCAGCTAGCACAGTAGCTCCTTCGGGGCTTTGCAAACCATCACAGTCAGTTTGATGATAGTATATATGCGAGTAGTTCCGGTGGCCTAGTTTTGCTTAAATGTAAGAATCTACTCACTACCTTGCTAAAGTCAAGAGCTGTTTTCATCACTTTAAGAATTCAGTTCATCCTGTTCTCACTGTATTTGTGATGGAAGAGATACACATCAAAAATTGGTGATACATACTTTTACTGACATTCATACTGTTCTCTGCCTTCTGCTTTGGCTCACTGATCTGCTCTGCTTGCCCTAGTAACTCTTTGCAAACTCTTCATTTGCTTATTTTCGAGCTTTTTTTGGTTTAGGTGGATAAGTGGAACAATTAAAAAAAAATAAGTGCATTTCAGCATGTTGTAAATGAAATAATTTGCTGGGTGGTATTTTACTCTTGGGCGCTGCGACTTTCATCTTCAGTTAGCGTTCAAAGATAGTGTTATAGGAATTGGCCACACTGCCAAAACACAAAAGGGCTGAAAACTCTGTGTTTGATACATGTTGATGTTGAACTAATGGATTTGAGAATGATTAAATTTAGAACCGGAGGAAGGACTTATTGTCTATGTGTACTATAGGAAGTTGGATGAGGATTGTGGACTGCATAAGATCAAAATACATCCCTTGGTTGCTCAAACAAAGCTTAAAGGTAGCTGGAGACTTCCAGGAGAAATTCATGCAGTAGTTTCCTATGTAAAACAGTTTCCTGTTAAAAATATTTAAATAGCATGTCAGTTGAATAGAAATAACATCACATATCTGTCAAGGGCCTTGTTGCTATAATACACAGCTGTTTATCATGAAAATCTCAACTGACATGGAAGAATTCTGCCAGAGTTGTGGAGGACATGGTGACACATGTGGTCTGAAATGGATTCCCTGTTTGCACTTGTACTACAGCAAGACAGAGGCCTCCCCCTGGACCAGGAATTCCTAGTCCCTTTAGAAAGGAGTTGTTGGTCTCCTGGCTTCTTCCCCTGCTTGCTCTTTTGTCTCTCAGTAGTTGTTGACAAGGACAGACAATTATCTGGAAGAAGAGGATGGGACTAGACTCTAGGTCTCTCCCTTCCGTAGTGGATCCCCTAAGCAGTGTTGTCTTGCCTCTGTGCTCTTGGGCAAGGTGATGAGACTGGCTGAGCTCTCAAAGTCTCTTTTAAAAGATAGAAATAAGGGGCTGCCATTATTGCATGATAGATGAAAGTACAGTGTAATCATCTCTGACATTGCTGTTGCTCTGGTTACTCGCATCCTGTTGGGGAACAGGGTGTGTGTATACACACACACACATATATATATATATATGTGTGTGTGTGTGTGTTTATTAGTTTTGTGGTTGATTACAATGAGTGGTCACGCACTGAAGGATATAGTCTGCATAGTTTTGATTTCAGTTTGGGGTTTTTTGGGGGGCAGAAACTGAATGAACAGATATACACCACTGTTAACAAGAAAAGCCATAATAGCTATGAAAATAATCAAGTTCAGTAGTGCATGAGAACGATGTAGAGCATCACCTCAGTCCTTGCCCCATTTGCAGTTCTGCTGAATGATTCAAAAATCCAACCATTGGCCGCTGAGAATGTTAAATCCACTGTTTGTCTACATGAGTATACAGCTCCTCACAGCAGCATTTTGCCTGCAATTCTATTTTTATTTTTTTAAAACCTGTTTTTTTTTCTTCTCAATACATTTGTTAAATTCATACTTGAACAATTAAAAAGTAGCTTTTTGAAGAACCATATTTAAATACAAAGAGGGAAGAGTGTCATCCTCTTTCTTGAGCAACCTAAGAAGACATAACAATTATTTAAAAAAAACCCTAATCACTCATCTATGTATGTCATTGTGATGGCAGAAAGAAAGGTGCATGGATTGTTAACATTGGAAGACTGACAGGTTATCTGGATGGATATTAAGTTAGAGGAGTAGATGAAGATATTAGACGTTAGAGCCATATCTGTTACTGAAAGGTGTTTTCAAAGAGTTTTAACTCCTATTTAGTGTACAATCACAATGCTATCCATGTACTGTGAGCTTTCTTGAGTTGCCTGGTTTCCAGTATCACAAAACAGTGTGGGGGATTATTTTTCAGACTACCTTCAGTGTCCTATCCTTTTCCAACAGGTGAATCTTTTCTTCCTGCTAAACATCGTTCGTGTTCTCATAACCAAGCTGAAGGACACCCATAAGGCAGAATCCAACCTGTACATGAAAGCAGTGAGAGCGACCTTGATTCTGGTTCCACTACTTGGCATTGAATTTGTCCTGTTTCCATGGCGACCAGAAGGCCGGATCGCAGAGGAAGTGTATGACTATGTGATGCACATCCTCATGCATTACCAGGTAGGTAGCATTAAACGGGTTTTGCTCAGTTGAGCTAGCTAGCAGTTGGCATGTGAAGCAAATGTAAGAGAAATAACCATGTTAATTTCATTTTTAAAGACCTTATAAATGTCTTTTAACTTTCTCATTACACTGAATTTTCATTTCCTGTATGGTAGATAGCTGGCCCAATACTTTTTAGTAATGTGTTCTTAGAAATCACCAAGTTTAAATTTGTTCTACATTTTCTTTGTTATTTTTATCTGAATTTTATCAGGAACCAATTATCTCAAACCCAGAAAAATCTATATGCATGTGAAATAAAGCAGAATGTTTTCATTTTTATTTTACAGGGTCTACTGGTGGCTACAATTTTCTGCTTCTTTAATGGAGAGGTAGAGTAACAGTTTTTAATTATAATACTTTTCTTATTTTATATATTTTTTGGTTTGTTTCAGCAATTAAAGAGATGGTATTTTTTAAATAATTTTTTAAAATTTCGAAATCTAAGTTTGTCAGGTAAAAAATAATTAAAGAAAAATAATCTGGCTGCCAAGAGCAGAGCTTGGGAAAGACTATGCTATCATTCATGGCACTGTTAAGTTCTTTAGGGCTGACTTTTTTGTGATGAGCAATATAAATGGCTCTTGGTTATATAAGGAATTGAAGACACTTGTCGCTTTGCTATAAATTCTCAATAAATGTCATATAAAAGTAAAATGTAATTCACTACCCAGGAGGTATATGTCTATGTTAGAAGCCTGTATAGTTTCTGTTATCCTGGAGAATCACTGTATTTGGTCCTTCTGCAGCAGGAATAGAGCATATTGCATACATGCTGTGGGGTACTGTTGTGTTATGACAGCTCTTTGGGAAAATTTTAGGCTGTTTGGAAAAAGTTTGGAAAACTTTTTTTTTTTTTTACACAGCTGAAAAATATCATTCCAAAAGTCAGAAAATAGCCTATTGTCCTTGGGTCAGAAATTTGTGTTGAAGTGTGCTTTTCAGAAATCATCATCAGTCAATTCCAAGAACATTCTTAAGTTAGAAGATTTCAGTATTTCAGCAATATATGGTACTGATTCTGTTGAAGATAACAAGATTTGCTGTTGTCTTGAATAAATCCAGTAACTCTGGAGTGCACACAGTGACTTTCATCTGGAAACTCTGTCCCCCAAGCTGTACTTGGGAGCACCCTTACAGGGCCTTATAGTGTTAGAAATCAAAGTGGTATAAAGGCTAAAAAATATCTATACAAAATTATTAATATGACTCTTGTTTGTAAACACCTCCCTCTTCCCCTCCTGCGCTCCCTCCCCCCAAAAAAACCCAACAAATGAACAAAAACACCCCATCAAAAAACTAATTGGTACTTTTCCAACAGTCTTGGCAGAGGAACAATTACAAACCTACACTTATTCCTCCACATCTGTTTGTTCTACATTTAGTGCAGTTGCAGTATATGGCTGTAAGGAGATGTGTGGGAGTAACCAGCTGTTTTCATGTGACTGAACACTTCATTTCTTTTGTCAGATGTTATAAAATTGTATCAGTGTGCTTATATAAAGTTATTGGACAGTAGTATTTATTTCCAGGTAAATATTTGGCTAATAGTAGAATTGATTCATGCTGATTGCCCTTCCTTGTCTTCCTAAGCCTAAAGCTGACTGAATTGCAATGAAACTTCCATGGGGTATCAAGGTTTAATTTTATTCCTTGGGAAATGTGTGAGTCTTGGTGATTTTTTTTTTTTTTTTTTTTTTTTTTTTTTTTTTTTTTTTTTTTTTTTT